CCCTGCTGGTCTAGCCTGGGAGCACGAGGTACCCAGTTACCGTGTGTTGCCACGAGGCGGCACAGCAGGAGTCTTGATGGTGAGGAGGCTGTGTACTGGTAGGGGAAGACTTATGCAAGTTGCTTCTCTGTTTACCATGAGGGCTAGCCAGTGGCGGCAGCTGAATGCGAAGGGGAGCTAGCAGTGCTTGCATCCTAACACTAACATAATGCTGCCACACTTGACGCATTTCACCACCCTGTGTACGATACACACACACACACACATACACACACATACACACACACACACCCCACACATACACATACACGAGAGAGACCGTGGTTGCGTACACCACGACGAGACTCTGGAGGCTATAACAGGATTGGAGGTAAGGTAATACCACTGGTTCCGGTAAGTTTATTAGTGGTGTTACCTAGGCATTGATCCTCACCTGGAGGAATAAGGGAAAGGTAATTAATAACTTCAGTTGTCAGGGCTGAAGATGTTGTTGTCTGGCTGTGCTCTAAACTCTGAGACCATGTTTGTCTTTGTCACACGGCCCCATCTGAAGATTTCTCCAGAATATACAACTTGTAGTCTCTGAAAAAGTCCAGACCTGACCCTACATTAGCGAGGGCAAATGTAAGGAGACCCTTCGCCGCCCCCCCGATCAGCTCAACCTGACGGCTCGCCTCCCAATATATAGGACGTCCTAGTCCTCCCTCTGCCCAGAGAGAGAGAGAGAGAGAGAGAGAGTGTCTTGTAACCAAGAAGGGCCAGCTACCACGTCCCCAGTCCTGCTCGAGAGAAGTCAGAGGCCGGAGGCAAGCAGCCTCCGGTCGCCTCCGGTCAGGAGCAAGTTGCCCTCGACACACCGGTGCCCAGCTAAGCAGTCTCCTATAGAGACAACCCAGGACCACCTGCTAGGCCTCCCCTAGGTCACGTGAGTTTTTGTCAGAGCTTTCCGTGGGATGAGTTACTTAAGTGGGAAGTGTATTCATTTCATATTCGTGTCCGAGAATCAGAGTGTCTAGTAACGTAATATGATGTCCTAGTAACGTAAATATAATGTCCTAGTAACTTCAATAGAAGGTGTTATTAATGTGTCCATGTCATGTTCGTAATTAATAAAGAGTTGTAACGAAGCGGTGTTTGAGAAGTCGCCCTTAAGACGTAATAGATGTGTATTGACGTATAAGATAAGATAAGTGTAAATCCTTCATCAAATAACTATCACGGCCACGCTACCAAAATCTTCCTCTCTTTTATACTCTTATACTATCAATATTCTACCTATATGTAATCTTCTTCTTGTGAGATTTGTCTCATTACATACAGCAATCGCTACAACATCTGCCACCAGACCTGCTACAACACTTGTCGCAACAACACCTACTACTACACTTGCTGCTACAACACCTGCTTCTAAAATATCTGCTACACCACATGTTATAGTCTCCACCTGCCAGACCAAAAATGCCCCCCCCCCCTCTCCCTCTCATGTGTTATTCAGTCATAAGAATTAAAAAGTTTCAGATTTAGTCTCCGCGAGTGGTGCAAACTTTGGAGGCATAAGGGACCCAACTTTGCCTCCCAGCTCCTCCTTCTCATTTGCATAAACCAGCATAATCTTAGTAGTAGATTCAGTGAGAACTTAAGATTAAGACTTGGGAGACTTCCTTGTAGAGTTACGAGTAGAAAATGAAGATGTATCCTTGTCCTAGATATAATTTTAAGAGATTGTGAATATACTATCTTCATGCTTGGGACCTTGGGCTAATCTTGCTGATAATTGAGACTTTCCAGGATGTAAAGAGTGACCTGGGAGTTATAGAGCTCGTCTGTTTGTGTGTGTATGTGTCACATGAGATCCCGTTTTTTTTGGATTGATGTTGGTGAGACTCAGGGAGGAGGGTCTCAGCGTTCTGGTTAAAATAGATGAACTTCTTTCACACTCAAGGATTAATGAAGTAGCAATTTTACATCTTGGTAAGTCTCACCATGTAATAACGGCTGAAAAAAAGAAGGTGGAAAGAGGCCTTAAAAGAAACTTGGCGCAGACTAGAGGCAAACTTAAATATTACCGTGTACTGCAAACAATGTCCTTACATATCATGTCTACCTTTATCATTAATTATATCATGTGTACATAATACGGCTGTTTGTAGTATTGCTGGCATTGTCTGTGTATATAATGTTGACAGCCACGTAAACGAATTCCTTTATATCACTTCGAAACCGTGCCAAACCCAGATCAGACAATACAACGCCATCTATTTGTGAGATTTCCAGCTATATCCCTCAGTCACCTGTTGTGGTCATCCCGGTGGAGATCTCTCTGACCAAGTGATGTTATATGTATCCCCCCGTGAATATGGTTTCCGAGGAAAATGGGCGTATATAACATGACGTCTCCCAGGCAGCCACAGCTCACTGTCGCTGACCCTGATGTGATTGGTCTTTCCTCGGAACTCTAACCTAACCTAACCTAACCTAAAAAAAAGAATATGATTACTGTTCATCTATTTGATCAAACTATAAAAATATGATGAAGCTCACTCAACAAAGATTTCAGGTGCATTTGGTCGTATTTCCTACTACTAGGAAACTGTTATGATATGTAAGCCTTGAGATATACAGTGCTATGCTTAGATAACTCCATTCATGTAATAGATATTCGGAATTAGATATGTGGCTTTTCTTTACACAGTCCAGTACCTGTACATATCTATACAGACGTCACAGGAATACGAGCAAATGCACCAGAAATCCTTGTTGAGTGAGCCAGGATAGTCTGGATATTGGAGACTGCAAGACGGTGCCGGACATTGCCAATCAGACCGGGTTTAATCGCCTTACAGTCTACAAATGGATCAGGGAAGGGCAGGCGGAGGGATCAGTGGGGGGGGTGAGTGGGTCTCACAGCGGCAAACCTCGAGCTAAGACTCTGCCTGACGACCAGCAGATAATAGAACGCTACACGGAACCGCTCTATGATGTCAATAATATAGCTGTCACGTGACCCGTAGCTAACAAGGGAAAAACCTGACTCTAACACACACACACACACATGAAAACTTGTTTGGGATAACAGCTTCAGTACCTTGACTTCGACGTTGATTAATGGAAAAAAAAATGACTTTTAGAGGTGAGAAGTCATTCCCGTGTGTGGTGGCAGGAGCGAGACAATCCCGGAGACTTTATAACACCCCTGCTACCAGCAAGTCATCCCGAGAGAGATGTGAGTGGGTGGGACCTCAAGTGTTTCTTAGGATGAAGGTGGACCTGTGGCCCAGGCAGAGAAGATTTGAAAATCGAAGATAAATTCCTCCTATCAGTGAATGCCGTGTTTATATCTGCTACTAGGAACATAAGAGACAAATAATAACATTATCCTCTATTCTGAATTATTGATGATTATAATATAAACCATTTTATTGCTCTTAAATCCATTTGGTTACGTCTGGTCGCCAGGTCAACCGTCCAGTCGCCACGACAACACCTCTCTGGCCATGACAAGCTTTCTGTCGTCATGATAACCGCCAATCACCATGATAATTACTCAGTTTTAGTGTCATCAGCTCAGAACTAATGGCAACATTTCAGTTGTCATAGTATTCGCCCAAAAGTCATGTCAACCTCGCAGTGGTTATGCCAACCACAATGATCCTATTTTAAAAGAGGTTCAGCTGACATGGAGTTGTCATGGAAACAGACTTAATTTTCTCGACAGTCGTTATTGCTCTTATAAATGCTTAAGTTTCATGACAAAGGCTCTGTTATAGCATTACAATATAATAAAACTCATCCAATATGAAGCTCATGAGTCATTAGTTATACATCTGCACAAAGCAATGGATGTACAGTACAGTAGTTTCCTTTGTTATTATGCATGTAATTTTTGCCTTCCTTTGTTTGTATTACATGTGTAATAGTTTGAAATTTGACCACTAAAATGGGGTTCATTCGAATGAGGGAAGATCAGAGAGAGCATGTAATATTAAACGTAGAATTAGCTAAAATTAGCGAAAGTAATTCTCAAAAACATTAGTGAACGTACATTTTTATCGAAGCCATGTTTAGGTAAAAATCGCCTCAATGAACAAGTTGTTAACTATAAATTTTCTAGATTAAATTACTATGTTAAACAAGTTAAAATTGGATGAGCAAATTAAATCGTTAAAGAAACTCAATACTAAATAATCGTAGGAACAGAATAAAATCACTGAGAATGTGAGGTCACGCCTACAATAAGCCTAGAGTTGCCCGCACACATGACTCAATAATAAAAAATCGTAAATAAGCCTCGAATTAACGCTTTTTTACCCTTAAGATATATTTAAGATTCAATTTTATGTCCTAGAGTTATTAATAACCGAAAAAGGATGCCGAAATACTTGATGAAATAATTTAGTAGTCAAATGAGATTCCCACATGGCCTTGCGGGACCTCAAGCCTGTCGTCTAAGGCGGTGGTCCCCAACCTGTCGCACGGCTCCGTTGAACCTTATTATGGAGCCCGGAAGGTTTATTAGAAAATTGTGAAATATTTGGGATTCTTTGTAGGGGTGAAAACAATAAAACTATTTAATAACTTGATATGATTTGAGAGAGAGAGAGAGAGAGAGAGAGAGAGAGAGAGAGAGAGAGAGAGAGAGAGAGAGAGAGGTTTATCCGAGTCCGTCGTGTATAGGACTTGCATATTTACCCGACATATTTTACAGTGTGCATAGATAGATATGGAGTTATATAGAAAGAAAAAAAAAAGAAAGAAAAAATACAAGATAAATATACAGGCAAGATACAGAATAAATTGTTAGGACGTAGAATTACAAATAAATAAAATAAATAAAATAGAACACAATGCCATCCACTATCCCTGACTCCACATAATAACTCAACATGGACAGAGTGTCGGTAAAACTGAGATTGCCAAATACAGCACCAACGCCTCCTACACCAGCCAACCTTCCCCTTCTCATTATCTATATTGAAACAGTCGGAAGATGTCGACGACTGACGAAGCAACAACAATAGGACCACGTGTAGAGATGGAGTCGAAATTCACTGCCGTTGATTACACCATATTTGGTCTCATGTTGGCGGTGTCTATAGGAATCGGGATCTACTGTGCCGTGAAGAGTCGGGGGAAGGAGTCAACGCAGGAGTATATGCTCGGGGGGAGGAACATGTCGCCCTTACCTGTGGCCATGTCACTTCTGGGTGGTGTTATATCATCGATATCTATACTAGGTGAGTGAGGGATAGTTATTGGCCAGTGCCTCGTGGGACTCTCTCTCTCTCTCTCTCTCTCTCTCTCTCTCTCTCTCTCTCTCTCTCTCTCTCTCTTTCTCTCTCTCTCTCTCTCTCTCACGGAACACCCCTTATCCCATTTCCGTCTTAAATTAAATAGTAAGCAAATTTGAAAAAAGTAACGGATGTCAAGTGATAAGTTGTTCAAGACGACAGAAAAAAAACACCGTAATATTCACCAGCAGAAAGTTATTTAGACCAAAGAAAATGAACTTCACTCCGAATGGGCTTCAGTCTTAATGGGCCCCAATTCTAAGGAGCTTCAGTTTTAAGTAGCCCTCAAATGGATCCCAATCAAAATGGTCTGTAAGGTTAGGCTGGTGTATGTTTAGACGAGGAGCCACTTAGCTGGTGAACGTTCATGAGGTCATATGTATACTTGTTTATTTTATGACACTCGTGCACTTATTTGGCCATTGTACCTCAGGATGATGCTGATTATTGTAAAGGTGTTGGCTACTCTTTCTTTCTGTAGAGTTTATACTATAGATATCATTGTGGTAGGAGATACACAGAAACACACAAACACACTGCTACTACTACTAATACTACTAGTACTATTACTGCTCTACTGTCACTTAAAATCTGACGCTCATCCAGCTATGACACAATGATATGAGTTATTAAGGATGCCACCTTCGTTTGTGAACTCTGAGATGACTCAAGAGGCAGATGCGGTACCGGCAGGGCCGTCCACAGATGTTGCACGTGTGGAGGGCTACATCTAGTGAGGGAAGAGCGGCGACAGCGTCCTTCCGGCGTTGGCGCTTGTCTGCCTCATTATGCAGTCGGGCTAGCTCAAAAGTTTTGACACCTTCTCGTGTGGTGCTCCTCCAAGCGTTACGGTGTGAAGTGATCGTCTACCAGTTGAGGGGGTTTGTGTTAAGACTATTCTTATACCTTTTCCGTTGCCTGTCAACGTTACGTTTACCAATCGGTAGGTGACTGTAAACTAGCTGCATTGGGAGTCTACTCCTCGTCCATGTGGGTAACATTGCCAGTCCAACGTATTTGTTCTTGGATAATGGTAGCCTCGGTGCTCCTACAGTTAGTGTCAACGAGAATACTACCATTTGTTCTCTTGTCTTCCGAGCGAACTCGGGGGATGGAACGTAGACTACGTTGGTGAAAGTTTGGGAGTGCCTTCATGTGCCTCTTGCATGTGACGCATATCTCGCTGTCATACAGCAGGGTGGGGAGGATTACTGTTCAATACACGTGCAGCTTTGTAGATCATTTTAGCTCTGAAGACACGGGTACGGAGTGTGCTAAAGGCTTGAGGTTCACATCAGATCCGATGTTGAATCTCTTCATCGATGTCTGCGGTGGTGGACAAGTGGAAACCGAGATAATGAAACTGGATAACATTAGAGAGGCTAGTACCGTTAAGCTGGATGGATGATAGAGGTGTGTCTGAACCAGGGGCAGGCTGAAAGAGAATCCGAGTCTTACGAACATTCACCTCAAGGCTGAAGTGTGCATGCACATCTGCGTAGGTGTTCAGGATATCCTGTGGGTAACGTTCATTATGAGCGACGAGAGTGAGGTCGTCTGCACACTGAAATTCACTGATGGAAGCGGCCGATACCTTTGTTCCTGCCTGGAGTCGTCTTATTTTAAAAAGTCCCTTCATCCAGTACTGGATGTCCACCTCGCAGGCTGAATTGGCACTAGCATTAGTAGGGAAGGCAGCCAAGAAAATGAAAAAGAGAGTTAGCGCCAGTACGCATCCTTGTTTTACCCCCGTTTGGATGGGGCAGAACTCGGACTGGGTGCCATCGTGTAAGACAGTGCCGTTGAAGCCAACGTGTAATTGCCTCACAACGGCAAAGAATTTTGATGGACAGGCAAAACGACTGAGGGTACGCCAGAGGTCTTCCATGTTGACCGAGTTCTTTGCATTTTTCCTGTATCTGGCAGGCAGCAAAGATCATGTCAGTGGTACCACGTGCTGGTCTGAAGCCACATTAAGATTCTGGGAGGAAGTTTTCCTCCTCAGGAAGAAGTCTGTTTAATAGGACTCGGGCGATAAGCTTGCCGGCTACGGACATCAGTGAGATCTTGCGGTTGTTGCCACAGTCTGACCGGTCTCCCTTGTTCTTATAAATATTAACGATGTATGCGTCTTTAAGATCTTAGGGTATTTCCTCCTTATTTTATATATCCTTTAGGATTCAGTGGAGACAGCTGGTAAGCAGAAGTCCTCCTGCTTTATACACCTTGGCTGGGGTTTCATCAGGCCCTGTGGCTTTGTTATTTTTCATCTGCTTGGTGGCAGTATCTACCTCATCCAGGGATGGAGGATAGCTAAGGTGGGTCAGCTGTGGGTGGTGAGGAACCTGCTGGGTAGTCAGGACATCAACATTGGTGTTTCAGTTGAGCAGCGAATGGTAGTGTTCTTTCCAGTGCTGACGGATGCTTTCTTTATCTTAAATTAGGAGTTAATGTAGAATGAATGGATGGGGGCCACGCCATGAGTAGTTGGGCCACATATACTTTTGGCAGAATTGAAAAAGTTCATGCATCTTGTGTTGATCTGCAAGTTTTCCGTTTCACGTGCTTTATTTTTCAACTATTAGTTCTTTAGACTGCAATGTTCGTGCTGCTCCACCGCTTTCTTCGTGTGGAAGGTATCAGCTTTGGTCCGAGACTTAGGGTTGTTCTGCCAGTCAATTAAGGTAGCACGTTTATCATCGACGAGTTCTTTGATTTCCGGGCCATTTTCATCAAACCTATCCTCGTGTTTTTTTTGATCAGGCCGAGTGTCTCGTTGCAGGTTTCTGTGATGACAGCTTTGATGCCACCCCATTCAGAACAGGGATTTTGGTAGTTTGTTTTTGGGTTGTTTATCAGCCCATTGTTGAGCTGCTTTCTGAAAGCATGCAATATTGCTGGATCCTCCAGTCGAGTGACATTAAAGATTGTTTTGGAGACTTGTTGCCTTCGCTCTTTTGGGGCGACGTGAAGGGAGAGTTTGGCTCTGATGAGCCAATGATTTGTATCACAGTGGTCTGAGCCACTCATAGCTCGAGTGATGAGGACATCTCGGCGATCTCTTTCTCTGACAATGATGTATTCAATGAGAGGCCATTGTTTGGATCGAGTGTGTTACCAAGAACTCTTGAATTTGTCGGCCTGCCTAAATAAGGTGATTGTGAGGTTGTGTGTAGCACACTTGCTGAGGAGAAGCAAGCCGTTGGGATTAGACTTGCCGACTCCATTTCTCCCTCTGATTCCCTGCCATATGTCAGCATCTCTGCCAACTCTGGCATTGAAGTCACCTAAGAGCACAGCCCTATCTTCTCTGGGGATAGAGGTTAGCACTCTGTCAAGATCAGCATAAAAAGCCTCCTTGATGGCATCCTCTTCATCCAGTGTTGGGGTGTATGTACTGATGAAGAAGGCATGACGTGAGTGATTCAGTGGGAAATGGAACGTCATGAGGCGCTCGCTGATAGCAACAGGCATTTCAGTTAACCTATGTAGGTTGAATTGCAAAGCCAATTCCATAAATGTGGTTTCTCTCCACAGCAATGCTTACCCTCCCAAAAGAAGGTATAGCCGGAACCCGTTCTGTGAGTCGACCTTCGTCTGGTAGTCGGGACACACTAATGGCTGCTATGTTGATGTTATACTTAGACAGCTCTTTTGCCACAGGGGCAGTTCTTATTTCAGGACTCTCATTTTTGCCAGTATCCAGAAGGGACCTGACATTTCATGCAGCGACCATAAAAGGTTGTTTCGTTTGTTTTTGCTTTGATCTGTAACTGTGATTATCTTTTCACCGCATTGGGATGACTTTACGGGGTGCGGTTGCCCAGTCAGTTTGGTTCTTTAGGCACTATGTTTAGGGCACTTTTTCTATCCCCCTCTCCATGTGGGGTGAGTAGAGTAGCTCCTGGTAAGGGCTGCTCAGTCGCACAGACAGCCTACATCCCAGTCCATAAACGACCATCTTATCTGTGCCGCCTATGTGCAGAGTTGTGGCTAGAGACTCCCGGCAGTCATCTCTGACTGTTTCCGTCTCCACTCGTCTGTCGCCATAGGACTTTTGGGGGATAAGGTTTTAATGATGATGAGAGGTATGGTGAGCTAGATGATGGCTGCTAGTGAGTTGATTTATGTGGTGAGGCAAGAGCTCAGGCTGCATTACATACTAGAAAAAAATATATATAACTATCCTGCTAAGCTCCAATACCTGGAGCAGATCAGCGTTAGTCATTTGTAAGGTATGCTATTTAAGAGAAACTCCTTCCCCTCCCTCAGTCATATCATCAAGGATGGCGCAGCTTAAGAAATAATGATAATTTTGCCACTATGTATCTCTATTGCTAAGCCAACATGTCCACAATCCGACGAGTTAACTCTCATTGTTATTGCTCAAAGGTTTTAGTATTTGACTGGGCTTATATAGATATTGCGGGCGCCATAGACCAACAGAATGAGCCAATATGAAGAAGACCTCCTCCACCACTCATTGTTTTGCCAGCTTCCATGACTTCATCTACTTCAACCAAGAGCTGTAAGACTTCAATGGCTTTCACTTGAGAATTCATAAAAGCAACTGACTGTCAACCAAATCAAAATTTCCAATAAAACCTTTGGGTTCCGAAGTTTCATTTCTCAGCTTACAATCTTCTTTAGGGCATGCCACCATGGGTCATCTAAACCATTTAAGCATTCACCAACGGCATCCTGTCTGGCAGAAAGTCGGGACCTACGTTTCCTTAGCCTTATCAATAAGGCTGGGAATATGTTGACTCATCCTTCATCGGCATCAACGTCGATAACACTGCTCCTGCTTACACCGCCCTCCCTCAACACTACTGTCACCATGGTTACACATCAGCTTACACCTCCCTCATCAATACTATACTGTCACCATGGTTACACATCAGCTTACACCTCCCTCATCAATACTATACTGTCACCATGGTTACACATCAGCTTACACCTCCCTCATCAATACTATACTGTCACCATGGTTACACATCAGCTTACACCTCCCTCATCAATACTATACTGTCAACATGGTTACACATCAGCTTACACCCTCATCAATACTATACTGTCACCATGGTTACACATCAGCTTACACCTCCCTCATCAATACTATACTGTCACCATGGTTACACATCAGCTTACACCTCCCTCATCAATACTATACTGTCAACATGGTTACACATCAGCTTACACCCTCATCAATACTATACTGTCAACATGGTTACACATCAGCTTACACCCTCATCAATACTATACTGTCAACATGGTTACACATCAGCTTACACCTCCCTCATCAATACTATACTGTCACCATGGTTACACTCATCAACTTCTTTGACCCTGGTCCCGCATCCATCTTCACACTGGGTCCCAACTTCTTACAGGCAGTGAAATTCACCAAATTCTTCGGCGTCAATATTGTGATAATTAGAGCAGGAAAAAGCAATTTAGTCCTATCACGTCCGTGTGGTCTTAAGAACTTTGGGCTTCCTGTGTCTAGCTTTAAGAATATATACACAACCTCTATACTTCCTAAAATAACCGATGGTTCCCTTGCTTGTTTTTTTTTATTGTTCCACAACAAAACCCACTATAGAGAGTGAAGATAAGTACATACGAGATTATTTTCCAACCTTCTTTTAGTACCTATCAAGAGGCACTCAGTATACTAGCCTTTTCAACTCTCTCTTTTCTTGGTCATGACTTCATCTGTCAATTTGGCACAAAACTGTCATGCTATCACCATCGTGTGGGATAACTAGGACGCGGGCATTAAATCAGGCAACGACCATCCAAATTTCACAGGAGCGGTGTTTTTTTTTTGTTTTTTTTTTAAGGGGATTAGCCCACCCGGGCACAGGTCGCTGACCCACATCGGGGCCAGGAGGGCGAAAATGTAATAATAATAATAATAATAATAAATAATATTAAATAAAATTTATAATAAAAATAAAAATAAAATATTAATGGTAATAATAATAATAACAACACTGTGATAATAATAATAATAAATACAAAGAAATACAAGAATGAAAAAATTCAATAGTGAAAAACGCTATATGTATGTCGTGCTGTCATGTAAGAGAAGCAATTAAGACCCTACAATTGTGTGTAAATGAGGCAGAAAGTCAGATCAGTAACCTGGGACTTGGTCACAATTTTCGTGATGCCATATGGCAGCAGAGTCTACCATTAGACAACACATTATGCTGCCAATATCTTCCCAGGCGGTAGTACCTCCCTGTTTGGTAGCTGCCTACGGGGTGAGTGTTGACCTTCTCTCACCTTAAAACCGAACCCTGGTTAACTCACCATGACTTGCAAGAATAATCCTTATCCTCAAGAAAATGAGCAATAAAAGTTACAATAAATATACAGATGAAACGTCATACTTAGGAACTGGCAACCAATGAAGACTTTATTAGATAGATTAAGTGTATGTCATTCCTGTTTACTTTTGTGTTGAGTTGTTGCATACAGGTACTTCAGACACGCTTTCTCTAGGGTAACATTATAGATGTCTTATTCAGATAACATCACAGAGGTTATCTTCTGCGACGACGTACATAGACGTTTACCCAAATGTAACGCCATCACTTCATCAGGTAACTCCACAGAGATGTACTTCTTTGGCACACAGCTGGCCACCTCCCTCCTGGGCTTCATCCCCGGCACCATCTTCCTCAACCAAGTGATGCTGCCTGTCTTGTACAACCTCAAGATCGTCTCTCTCAACGAGGTGAGTATGAAGCCTCGGGTGTTAGTGTTATGATCTACTGTGATTCTCTGTGATTCAACGTGAGTCTGCTGTATGAGGCTTTGTGGGTATGTGAGTAAGTGTGTGACAGGTAAGGCTATGTGAGTCGGTGTAAGTCTATGTGTGTGAGTCTGTGTGAAGATATGTGAGTCTATGTGTATGAGACAATGTGAGTCTATGAGTATATTGGATAGTTATTTGACTTAAGAGATGCGTCCGATCTATATACTTAATGTTATTCAAGAATACTCTGAATCCTTCCAAGAATGTCAATATTATCAACATATTAAGTACAGCATAAGTAAACCATTCACTAGCGCTTACGTTATTCATCAAGAGTCATACATTTCAGGCCTTTGTATACAAAAGAAGGTACATGAATAATGAAGTAGAGCCGTATATTGTGTTTTCCAGTATTTAGAGATAAGGTTCAAGTCCAGAGTTCTACGCACGGTAGGGACGGTGTGTCAGATGGTGGTTAAAACGAGCCTCATGGGGATGGTTTTGTATGCTCCCTCGCTGGCTCTCTCCACCGTCACCAACCTCTCCACACTCAGTTCTATGATCATTATGGGCGCCATCTGTACTTTCTACATTACCATTGTGAGTAATGGAATATTATTCTCTTGGTAATAATTATGATTTTTGTTAACAGTAAGTGGAACCCATATTTGTAGAGGAGAATGTCTTGTAGGGTTTCTCAGGCAGAGTTGTCTGAACATACACACACACACACATACACACACACACATACACACACACATAAACACACACACACACACACACACACACACACACACACACACACACATACACATTTGTCTCGCGTCACTTGTGTATTATTGTTTTGAATAACAGTTTTATTTGGATAATAGAAATTAAAACTAAATTGTAAAATCACTATTTTTTACAAATGAACAGAGCAAATCAGCTTATGGTAAATTACCGGTATATCACAATCAAGTTACATCTGACAGTTATTGTAAAATATCACGTCTATGTTATAAATCTGTGTGCATCTGGGAAGTCTACGGGTATTGTTATACATACAGGATGCAACACGCTTAATACAACAGGGAGATGTACAAGCTATGTGTACATAAGGAAAGGCAGGCGGTGGTATACACATAGGATACCCATTGTTTACAACCTTGTGTACATCAGGGAGGCGTGAAGGCTGTGGTGTACACGGACGTCATGCAGACCCTCGTCATGTTCCTGGGTGTGTTGGTGGTGGTGATCATCTGTTGTGTCGACCTCGGGGGTCTTGGTAACATGTGGAGGATCGCTAACGAGGGCAACAGGATTGAGTTCTTCAAGTGAGTATAGAGTCCATCAGCAGCCCTGTCTTAAAGAGTCCAGAGACCATCAACAGCCCTGTCTTAAAGAGTCCAGAGACCATCAACAGCCCTGTCTTAAAGAGTCCAGAGACCATCAACAGCCCTGTCTTAAAGAGTCCAGAGACCATCAACAGCCCTGTCTTAAAGAGTCCAGAGACCATCAACAGCCCTGTCTTAAAGAGTCCAGAGACCATCAACAGCCCTGTCTTAAAGAGTCCAGAGACCATCAACAGCCCTGTCTTAAAGAGTCCAGAGACCATCAACAGCCCTGTTTTAAAGAGTCCAGGAGTCTATCAGCAGCGAATGCCTTAAAATTTATATAGTCAAAGAGTCCAAAAGTAAATCTGTAGCCATTTACCTGTAAGAAATTTGGATATAATCTGATCTGCAACTAGGAATAACTAGGCTCCAGCTGATCTACAACCTGCAGTAACTAGGTTCTATTAAATCTGTAACCTACCCACAGCCTGGACAGCAGCCCCTTCGTCCGTCACACCTTCTGGTCGACCTTTGTCCTTGGCTTCTTCGTGATGATTGGTAGTATTGGTCTCAACCAGGCCGTCTACCAGAGGTTCGCCTCCGTCTCCTCTCTACGTATAGCTAAAAGGTTAGGTTATGAGATAAGTAACTTGCCCTTAAACATGAGTGTCTTGTTGGAAAGGTGAGTTTTATTTCTCCTAATTAATCCTAACATAACCTAACTAAACCATATTTATACTTAACCTAAGCCAATGAGCCAATGAGTCTATTCTGATTCAAGAGAGTTAACTTAAACCTATCCTAACCTAATCTAACCCAACGAAAAGTTAGCCAAACTTTTAGGTTGGGTCAGGTTGGGTTAGATTTTATATAAAACTATAAATTTATATATATTATGATGAACATCATCATTCATGGCCACTCAGAGGTTTCCGAAAAAAAAAAAAATATATATATATATATATATATATATATATATATATATATATATATATATATATATATATATATATATATATATATATATATATATATATATATATATATATATATAACCGGTCGGAATTCTCTGACTTAAATAGTTGGGGTTTTGAGTGTAGTGGATGGCAATGCAGTGGAAGCGCCCCTTTGAGAAAATCCCGAACCAGCACAAACACAATTAATTTAAAAAATATTCTCCGTGACCCGTGGAAAGATAGCACCTGTGATTGGGGTAAATGAGATGCACTGTAAAAGAATGACACTTCTATTCCCTCCAACACTACAACCACAATCAATAATGGTACACCAACATTTGCGCACCTCTGAGCATGGCTTAAAACACTACACTGGGGAACAAAGGTTATACATGATATCAAAAATAGGTAGAAATATTAAATGCCTTATGAGAAACTACTAAGGTAACAGTGCTACTTACACCAGAATGAGGAGCTCAACTGAAAACAGTTCCCTCGTTATCTTACATCACTTAGTGGCACATAAACATTAGAAAAACAATAGTATCAAAATTATTAAGAAATAAATGAACAATGCCTTAAGGGCATCCAACAAAATAATATCAGTCATTGAGAAATAGTATCAAAAATATTAAGGAATATTAACTACACACAAGATAATATCAGTCCCTGAGAAAATGTATCAAAAATATTAAGAAATATTAACTACACACATGGATCAATCATAGCCTGTCTGCGATGACCCACAAAATACTACAATCCTAACTGTCTAATAACCCAAAAGGTGTAACTACTAACCTGCCAAGGAGGCCGGCGTTTACAAGAAACCAGAGAAAATCACTCATGACCTATAAGGCAGGTGGGTGCTCCGCTGTTTTTGTCAGTACTTTCTCTAGCTTTCACTAGCTTTCAACAGTCATGAATCTTTTTCTCCACCAATACCTGTAAACATGAGTCACACATATGTTCCGAAGGCACCAGTACTATCTAGGAATGTTAAGAAAAATGTAAGGAAAGCAAAGAGACTATGAAATCAAAATAGCAAGAGAATCCAAGGCGAATCCCAAGGGATTTTTCCAGGTATATAGGACAAAGGTCAAGGACAAAGTTGGGCCTTTAAAGTCAAGGAGGGGGAAGTGATAAATGGCAGTGAAGAAATAAGCAAAGCGTTGAACAGCTACTTATCAGTTTTCACAGAATAAATTTGAGATGAAATTCCAGAGGTGGAACTGATATTTAAGGGAAAGGAAGAAGAAAAATTAAAGAATATCACTATCAGAAAAGAGGATGTTCTTAAGAAGCTAAATAAACTAAAGAAAACAAAATCCCCAGGGCCGGATGAAATTTTCCCTCGAGTCTTGAAAGAGTGTAGGGAACAGATTAGCGGACCACCTTGTAAACTTATTTACAAAATCATAGACACTGGAGTTGTGCCAGACTTGTGGAAACAGGCAAATGTAGTACCCATATTCAAAAAGGGAGACAGAGCATCAGCGTCAAATTACCGGCCGATCAGTTTGACGTCAGTAGTGGAGAAATTTCTTGAACAGATAACATCCGATCACATTTAGAGAAAAGCAAATTAATCTACGACTCTCAACATGGGTTTACAAAGGGAAAATCTTGTCTAACAAATCTGCTAACGTTTTATAGGAAAGTCTTCGAGGTAGTAGATAATGACGAAAATTACGATGTTATTTACTTAGACTTTAGCAAAGCATTTGACAGAGTACCGCATCAGAGGCTTCTGAGAAAAATTAAGGCTCATGGTATCGAGGGGAAAGTTTTAAATTGGATAAAATCATGGCTCACCGATGGAACGAAGAGGGTCAGCGTAAATGGTGTTAAATCTGAGTGGGGCCGTGTAACCAGTGGGGTTCCCCAGGGGTCAGTACTAGGCCCACTCTTGTTCATAATCTACATAAACGATCTAGATACTGGGATCAGCAGTGACATAAGCAAGTTTGCAGATGACACCAAAATAGGGCGGCAAATTAACTCAGGGCAGGATGCAAATGCATTACAGGAGGATCTAAATAAACTGCAGGGGTGGTCTGAAAAATGGCAAATGAAATTCAACACCAGCAAGTGCAGCGTACTTAATATTGGAAGAACAAATACTTATAATGTATACAGCCTTAATAACATCAACCTAGAGAAGTCGACTTGTGAAAGAGACCTAGGGGTACTTGTAAGCCTGGACCTACGGCCTAGAAAACAGTGCGTTAATGTTCGAAATAAGGCAAACAGAGTATTGGGTTTTATATCTAGAAGTGTAAGTAACAAGAGTGCAGAGGTCTTATTGCAAATATATCTTACGCTAGTCAGGCCGCACCTCTATTATGCGGTTCAGTTCTGGTGCCCCTATTATAGAATGGATATAAATTCACTAGAGTCGGTGCAGCGAAGAATGACAAAAATGATTCCGGGACTTAGAAACCTTCCATATCAGGATAGGTTAAAGAAACTTAGCTTGCATTCCCTAAAAAGACGAAGAGTGCGGGGAGATATGATAGAAGTATTTAAGTGGGTGAAAGGAATCAATAAAGGGGATATAGATAAAGTTCTTATAATATCCGAGCAGGATAGGACTCGGAGCAACGGATTCAAGTTGGATAAGTTTAGGTTTAGGAGGGAGATAGGAAGAAACTGGTTCACAAATAGGGTGGTGGATGAGTGGAACAAGCTTAGCAACTTTGTAGTAAGTGCGGGAACTCTGGAAAGTTTCAAAAGGAGGTTAGATAGATTCATGGATGATAGTGGTAGTAACTCTCGACAGGAGCTGCCATGCACAGGCCAACCGGCCTATTGCAGACTCCTTATTTTCTTATGTTCACTCCAAGCCCTTCACAACTCTTACGTCTCGCGTGTGAAAATCAATCATGAGGAGCGTTGTTTTCACACCTGGACTTGGTAAATTCGAAACTCACCTTACCACCATTTCCTGTAACATGCATCACACATATATTCAGAGCACACCCATACTGGGGAGATAAAATGTCTCTAAGTACCCACTGGACTCCTGGTCTCACTGCGTGACCGTTCCTTCACTCAGACTGCCTCAGTTTTACACTCAGTACATCCATGGACGGGAAGAGAGGAAAACGTCAGCAGGTGACCCTGTCCAGCTGAGGGAAGGGTTCTATATTCACGTCCGGTAGATAATATTTCTAACTGACTGACTGTGGGGAGATCTGATAACCCAGAACGATCATCAACCAAGGGTGGATGCTAGTCCCACGTAGTTTAGCTGTCAGGGGCACTCGTTCACTTCGGGACGTCCCAGCTAAAACCTCGTTAACCAGTGACAAATCCGCTCCGATCGTTCCACCCACGCTCAAACCACTTCAATCGCGTCAATCGTGTGGGCTCTTCATCAACCCTGCAATAAACCCTCTGTTAGCTATTGTTAACTTCGTCTCTGCCCTATCTAAATCCTGTCTGAGATCGAATAAAACTTACTTGCAAACTGCTGAATGGCGTATGCTTAAGGAGACCAGACCACGTGATCGTTTTTCCTGCGCGGACGCGCAGAGAAGCATTCTTCTGAGCCGACCGCTATCGTCTAACTGAGGCCCAAGCCCGGGAGGAATCCTCCAAGGCAAGCCTGCATAGTGACGTCATCTTTCGCAAACTAAATAGCTTCTTTGGGACACCCGTAACATATTTAGACTGAGAAACGATCTATAATAACTTTAAATTTAATAATAGTCCCTTAATTTCATGATTCGCTCTCATTAATTCGGTAAAATACATTTAATATTGTATAGGCCTAGTTCCAGATGCTCTCACTACGTATGGGTAAGGTTTGTTGGCGCTTAGCCAACCTGCCACGTGGATTTGGCTGACTCAGCATATCGGTTATTTACGTACTAACGTCTCTAAACATCACACTAAAATTTCTGAATATTACAAATATATATATATATATATATATATATATATATATATATATATATATATATATATATATATATATATATATATATATATATATATATATATTGCAGGCTGAGCATCTTCTTCCTGGTTGGGGTATACTGCCTGTGGACTTTGTTCTTTCTCTCCGGCTTGGTTGCCTTCGCCACCTACAGCACGTGTGACCCCCTCACTTCCGGGAAGATCACCAAACCAGACCAGATCCTCCCCTTCTTGGTGACCGACAAACTGAGTCACCTTACAGGACTCGCTGGGGTGTTTGTGTCTGCGGTGTACGGTGGTGTACTGAGGTCAGTGCCTTTCTTACTTGGACTTTTGTTACTTTTGTTACCTGTGTTACTTGTGTTGGTTGTTTTGCGTGCTACTTGGACCTATGTTATTTGTGTTGATTGTTTTGCGAGTTACCTGGAGCTCTGTTACTTATGTTGTGTCACTTGTGACATGTGAAGTGTGTTACGTGTTACCTGTGACCTATGTTATTTGTAATATCTGAAATCTGTGAACTGTGATATTTAACATGCGTTTAACAAGTGTGTCTGTGTAAATTTTGTAACCAGTAACCTATGTTAACAAATACCTGTGTTATTTACTGTATGTTAGGTGTGTTGTTACCTGACGAGGACCTGTGTTACTAATGTTACCTGTACCTGATTATGGTAAAGTTGTATGGTCATAAATAATGTTTATATTTGGTAATAATGTTATACCATACTTGTACATCCTCCACCACACACCATCATCACCATCATCCACCACACACCATTCCCACCATCCTCCACCACACACTATCACCACCATCCTCCACCGCACAACCTCACCACCATCCTCCACCAGCTCTCTGTCCTCCACTGGTAACTCTCTCGCCTGCATGATCTGGGAGGATTTCCTCAAGCACAGGCCATACTTCAGTGGCCTCAGCAGTAAGAGTGCTACCAACGTCGTCAAGATCATCTGTAAGTGTTTTTACCTGTGCATGGCTGACTTCCGTTTACCTGTGGCTAATTTCTGTTGACCTGTCGCTGACCTTTGTTGACCTGTGCATGGCTGACTTATGTTAACCAGTGACTGACTTCTGTTAACCTGTGGCTGACTTGACCCGTGACTGACTTTTGTTGAAATGTGACTGACTTCTGTTGACCTGTGACTGGCTTCCGTTGATCTGCTACTGACGTCTGTTGACCTGTGACTGACTTCTGTTAACTTGTGACTGACTTCTGTTAACTTGTGACTGACTTCTGTTCATCTGCCGTTGAATTCTGTTGACCTGTGGCTGACTTCTGTTGACCTGTGTGTGTGTGTGTGTGACCGCCCTCCCCCTTTCTCAATCGTTTATTCATTCCTAAGAAAAAATGATCAATTTGTCTCATATGTTCTAATGATAACTGAATAGTCTCATAACCTAACCTAACCTAACAAAAAATCTTTAATTAGTATATTTATTCTAGCATCCTTCACCGGGGTACTGGCGGTGATCTTTGGCTTGCTGGTGGGCAGTTTAGGGAATGTGTTTCACGTTATCTTCAGCATCACTTCATCTGTCATTGGACCACTGGCTGGACTTTACGTGACTGGCATGTGTCTTCCCTGGGTCACAGCTAAGGTATGCGATGAGATGTGCTCTGGGATTCAAACAGCCTCCCACTCTTACTTCCCTCCCAGTCTTTAGAGTCAAATTCAACCTAATCTAGCCAAGTTTATCTTAATCTAGCTAAAATTAAGACAATCTTGCCAAACCTAAACTAAACCAAATGTAAGTATTCTAATCTAGACGACCTTACCCTAATCTAAGCTAGCCTGACCCAATCACACTTAACCTAATTGTTCTTATTAGGTCCCATCAGGATAGGAGTCCATTATAAACACGGGTTCATAATGAGTGAGGTTAGGTTAGGTTAGGTTAGGCTAGGCTGGATTAGGTTAGGCTAGGCTAGGATCTATTACCCATGGGTCATATATGAACAGTCACTATATTAATCAAACATTATATGGTATGTGTCTCTATGTGTATTCTTAAGTTAAAGGCAGGTTTGGCAATAAGTTATAAGTAATAATAATAATAGTAATGATAACCAAGATTGTAGAAATATTATCACCTCAAAGACAAATGCAAAGTTAACGTGCAGTACATATCACTACAGGGGGGCATTGTGGGTATTACCGTGTCCATGACGTATGGTTTGTGGATAGTGGTGGGTAAGTTCATCCGTGGGGGAGGATCACCACCTCGTCTGCCCCTGTCCACAAGCGGGTGTCCGGAAGCCTTGTTCAACGCCTCCGTCAACGCCTTCCTCAACATCACGACAGTGGGAGATTCTCACCTGCCCACTTCTACCCTGAGTGATGGTCTGCTACCCATTACCACACTAGCCAACACCACTGGACTGGAGGGGTGAGTACTGCGTCAAGAACATCTTCATTCTTCACACATCACGTTAAAGACATTCCTTTTCCGTCCATGTCTTTCTCCTCTAATACTCTCATTATTACATAGCTAAGTTAAGGATCCCCGTCTTTCTGATTTCCGGTGTAACAGACAATGTAAGTACGAACAAAGGTCACTAATCACCTCACCTATGTTTCCCCTTCATAGGACACTGTGTCATGTTTACCTCCAATAGTTCACCACAAGTATATAAAAATAATTTGTCACTACGTGGAAATAACTATAACTGTACTTTAAACCGGAATATTACTGGTGGTTCTGAGTCAAGTTACATATTGTTAGCGTTGATTACTGTATGAGACAGATATTAAGATGTTTATACGCTTCGTCAGGTCCGCGGCCAAGACACCCTACGACGTCTCCTACTGCTACTCCGGCACCATCTGTATGATAATGACCATGGTGATAAGCAGCCTTGCGTCCCTGTGTACAGGTGAAAGCCAATCTTGTTACTACTACTAATACTAATATTATTATTATTTGTTTTAAATATGGCCTCCAGCCTCCCCCAATAGCCACACCTTCGCCGCCATTTTGTTACCTTAATATTAAATATCCTAATATATGAGTAGTTATCCTAGCTGTCTTGAATTAGTTGAGCGGCAGATCTATGCGGCATTCAGTGATTGTAGCCTCAGTCAATATCTGCAGCTGTTAAAGGCTTTGGAGCCGAAGCTCTCGTTCCCCTGAGGCAGATCAAAGCCGAACGAAAGAGAGAGAAGGACAGTCGACATCTCATCCAAACTGTAACATAACTTCTGTGCTGCTGCTTCTGTTCGATCACCTCCGCGAGTCCGGCATAGAAACATCTTGCATTTGGTCCCATCCCACCAGAGGTTGTGAACACTAGAGGAGTGAAGGTGCCTTGATCAACGTTCTGAATTCTCTCCCCGTATTCCATTATCTTGTCGTTCTCGTTCCTCCTGTGTGCAGCATCGAGAGCTAAGTTACGGTGACATGCGGGCATGGGATCAAAGATCCTGATGTTGAAGAAAGCTCACTGTCCCAGATTCCAGAATCCTCGAGCACTGACGTCAACACGTTCTTCGTTGGATGTGTTTGAAGTCCTATGTTGGAAAATCTCACCGTCGAATGGAAGGAGGGTCGATTCTACCCTGACATCACGGCAGATTTCCTTCAACATATTTGCTGTGAGATCCCTTACTTCGTCATGCCTCATGCATATGAAGCCCCCTTTCTTGCACACCATGGCGTGATCGGCGTCATAGAAAGAACCACACATGCATTGGGAGGGCAAACCTTCCACTGGCTTACCGTACCTTAGAGCATTGGCATCTGTAAATTCTTGTTTATTGAGACTGAAACCATTTGCCCTTATCGGTAACGTAGTTAACCAGTTCGAGGCGCCCACCTCCTGCGCTATAGCTACTTTTTTTTTCAAATTCTCTGGTACTTGCAACAACAGTTGCTGCAACGTATCCCTTTGGCTGTGCTGCCGTTCTGTTGTAATGGACCTTCGAATCTTGTTTACTTCGCTGGTATCCACCTCCCCTGTTGCGTTCTGAGCTATTATGTGGTCCGTAAGGGCTGCCATGAGCTTAACTGAGTTTTGATATTCGGTGGCAGCAATCTCCTCTACTACTACTACTACTTCTAGTGTTACTATAGTATGTTCACTGGACCATTACAAATGAGTACTGGGGTCACTTTGCACTTTGGCAGCTGATTGGCTGGCAAAAGGAGACTGGAAAAGTCGCTACAGCTACAGCTCCCACTTTATTATCTCTCTATACCTCTTTCCCTGTCACACTAACCCATCATTCTTTCTTAGTATGATTCATTTTCCTTCTTTACTTCTCATTATCTTGTTCAGTATGTAATAGATGTTTATTTGTAGTGTATCTGAGTATCCATGTACACTCACTATGTATGTAAGTCTCTGTGTATACGCACTATGTACGTATGTATGTCTCCATAAGAACATAAGAAAATAAGGAGTCTGCAATAGGCCGGTTGGCCTGTGCCTGGCAGCTCCTGTCGAGAGTTACTACCACTCTCTATCATCCATGAAGCTATCCAGCCTCCTTTTAAAACTTTCCAGCGTCCCAGCGCTTACTACAAAGTTGCTAAACTTGTTACACTCGTCTACCACCCTTTTTTTCTAAGCCAGTTCTTTCCTATCTGCCTCCTAAACCTAAACTTACTTAAATCCGTTGCTCCGAGTCCTATCCTGCTCGGATATTATAAGAACTGTATCTATATCCCCTTTATTAATTCCTTTCACCCACTGAAATACTTCTATCATATCTCCCCGCACTCTTCGTCTTTCCAGGGAATGGAAGTTTAGTTTTTTAAATCAATCTTGATATGGAAGGTTTCGAAGTCCCGGAATCATTTCCGTCATTCTTCGCTGCACTGACATCAGTGAATTGATATCCATTTAATAATAAGGGCACCAGAACTGAACTGCATAATCGAGGTGCGTCCTGAATAGCGCAAGATATAATTACAATATGACCTTGAAATTTAAATGACAAAATAGGGCGAGAGTTGTAACAATTGATGTAAGCAAAATTTATTAGATAATTCACTTTCGAAAGACACGAAGGAAATGCTTCAGTGGAAATGACATAACACAACACCAAGATAATCCAATTCAAGTGACATGACAATTATTTAAAATTCATCAAGAGGACATGACGCAACACATATCTTTAAAAATATTTAATTTACTTGAAACAAAAGCTTTGAAAATAATGTCGCACTTAAATTTTAAAATATCATTAAATTAGAAAATAAATAAATAGATGGCTTTCTCGTCCTCACCTGGAGACAATAAGAAATTAATGGCTTAATAGAGGTACGGATAAAAGGCTGGAACTCACAGGTATTAAAAATGGTTCAAACTAATTATGAGACACAAAAACATCAAAATTACCCGAGACACAAAAAAAAGAAAATGGGAAATTTCACACTATCTTTGTTCATTCGTGTGAGTGACCTGAGGTGATGTTTAGTAGTTAGTGGAGATGAGAAAATGAGAGAGATAGAGAGATATTCTTGCCTCTCACTATATATATATATATATATATATATATATATATATATATATATATATATATATATATATATATATATATATATATATATATATATATATATATATATGTGTGTGTGTGTGTGTGTGTGGGTGTGTGTTTCTATTTAAGTCAGAATGACATGTTCTTGTATTTGTGTCTGCAAGATATGTGCTTTGTGTGTGTATGCATGTGCATGTGCGTACGTGTATATGTGTGTGCACTGTGTATACAAAACTCCCACATTTGCATACTTCCTTCCATACAGAATTGGTTGGTCTTCACGGACGCCGGGGACCGCCAGTAAAATTTACATGTGAACGTGGAGGAGAATAATAGTGGCTACCTGAGGCATACAGTCTCTGCTCCACAACACCGCCATTATTCTTGCATCTTAGTCATTTTTTTATTTTTATTTACTATTCTTTTTTGCTGTGAGGGATGATGTTGTGACTGTTTCTTTGTTTTCAAAATGAGGAGTATGTTGTGTGAGCGGGCTGTGTACCTTTTAGTCTGTCAGTCTGTCTCAAAAGGTGTTATCCCAATAAAGAACAACTTCCCTCCTACTCAAAAAGGATCATCTATCAGTCATGTAAGGAGACGCACACGCAACACACCCCCAAAATTGCCAGAAAACAACAGCAGACATATTCTTTAGTCTGCTTTTACTCATGAAAGTATAAAGCTTTGTTGTCCATTATGCTTTCAGCAAGAGTAAAGAGGACCATCTGCCAAGTTTTGAAAGCACAATCATGTCTGTGAGTGAAGTTTGGAGACACTGGTTAGTCCACACAGGTAACAAGTTATCTCTCTCTCTCTCTCTCTCTCTCTCTCTCTCTCTCTCTCTCTCTCTCTCTCATAAAGGCCGAAAGTCAGAAACTAAATTAAATGTCTATAATGATGAGGCAATTTCATAAGTCTTCTTGTGTTTCACTTTTCTTAAATACACTTGCACACACTTATACATACATACACATAAACATACATACAGACACACACACACACACACACACACACACACACACACACACACACACACACACACACACTATCTGTCCCTTACTGTTTCGTCATCGTCACCTTCACCTGTCACTCGTAATCAGATATAATCTGAAGCACATAACAACACTTATCTTTCTCACCGTGCTGGTGGTCATGGGGGTGGGCCTATGGTGGTCCTGCGTGCTGCAAACGGCCCTCTTCAGCCTCCGGGAAGACCGGCGTCACACCGGCCAGGTAAAAAAAGTAATCCGGTGGTGTCTGGCCAAAACCTAGAGCTGAAGAGCAGACGACTCTTGGCTGGCAGCTGCCATAAAATGGAGGGCCGAAGAAGCTAAGTGGGACCCACAAGATGAGGAAGAGGCAAATGTAGAGGACCACCAGAGAGAGGATGACCTCTGGTGGGAGGTAACTCCTCTACACTGCCAGCAACTATACCTGGAGAACGAAAGTCTCCAAGAGAGACTCCTGCGGGCATATAAAGAGAAGCACGAGGAAGATGAGGCACTGAAGGTGTTGTGGCCATAGTGGGGGTTGCCACTTTTCTTTTCAAGTTCTCTGGCAATTGCAGCATCAGGTTTTGCAGTTTATAACTTTGGGTGTGCTATCGTTCTATCGCATTCGACCTTCGAATCTTGTTTAATTCATTGGTATCCACCTCTCTTGCTGCATTCTGAGCTATTGCGTGCTCAGTGAGGGCTGCCGTAAGCTTGATTGAGTTCTGATGTTCGGTGGCTGCAATCGCTTACATCCCATTCCTTCCAGTCTCGGTGGTAGTGCAAGGAGTGACCTTTCTGCTGGGGTTAAGTGAAAGTGTTTCACTGGTGTTGGAATGAAAATGACGCTGATGGCTTTTTCCAGAGGGTGGAGGAGGGGTCCAATATCAGGGATAGTGCGCATCAGGTAATTCCAGCGATGCTTGAATCCATGAGTGAAAGCCGAAAAAGCCGCACGTGGCTCTATTTTAGCAATCAGACACAGCTTGGATTTCCTTCACCCACTCATTTACCTTTCCCATTACGTACTCGGTCTTGATATCGTTAGTGCCGATTACCGCACCTAGATGTCTTTCGCCGTAGTTCGTTATTATGACCTCCTTTCTCTGACTTCAGTACTACTATTGCTACTACTACTATTACTAGTACACCTACTACTTTTACTACTACAGTATTCTATTTCTGAAAATATGATATATTTCATGGAATATTTATAAATAAAATGATAACTTGGAGCATTTTCAGGACCAAATCACCCCAAGGAGCTGGTGAGCGGCACTATCAACCCGACCTGTGAGAAGCTTTACGTGAAGCTCTGGAAGTCATTCGGGGGTCAAGGTGAAGCCTCTAGCACCAGGCACCGTGAGCTACAGGTTGAAGAAAGCTCTATGAAGATGCTGAACTCTGATTCACCCCCCCTGATCCCCCTAACAACACCCTGAAACACTTCCCTCACCCTACACACCTCCCTCACACTCAGACCTCCCTCACTCCAACATCTCCCGCACTTGCACACACCTCACTCACCACCACTCTCACCCCTACACACTTCCCTCACTCCCTTACATCCCCACACACCTCCTTCACACCACACACACCTCCTTCACATCCCCACACACCTACCTCACATCCCCACACACCTCCTTCAACCGCCACACACCTCCCTCACATCCCCACACACCTCCTTCAACCGCCACACACCTCCCTCACATCCCCACACACCTCCTTCAACCGCCACCACCTCCCTCACCCCAACACTCTCTCTCACCCAAACTCCCTCACCACACCTCCCTCACACACCCCCACACACCTCCTCACACCTCCCCTCCCACCCCACCTCACCTCACTCACCCCACACCTCCCTCACCCCCCCCTCACCCCCAAACACCTCCCTCACCCCCCACACCTCCTTCATCCCCCACACCTCCCTCACCCCCAAACACCCCCCCCCACACCTCCTCACCCCCACACACCTCCCCACCCCCACCACCTCCCTCACCCCACACAACTTCCTCACCCCCCACACCTCCCTCACCCCCACACACCCTCCCTCACCCCACACACCCCCACCCCCTCACCCTTCCCACCCCTCCCTCCCCCCACACCTCCTCACACCTCCCTCACCCCCACACACCCTCCCTCACCCCACACCTCCTCACCCCCACACACCTCCCCCACCCTCCACACACCCCTCCCCCCACACCTCCCTCCACCCCACACCTCCCTCATCCCCCACACACCTCCCCTCACCCCCACACCTCCCCACCCCACCTCCCCACCCCTCACCTCCCTCCCCCACACCTCACCCCACACACCTCCCTCACCCCCACACCTCCACACTCCCCACCCCCACACCCTCACCCCCACACACCTCCCCCACCCACACACCTCCCTCACCCCAAACACCTCCTCACCCCCCAAACACCTCCCCTCACCCCCACACACCTCCTTCATCCCCACACCCCCCCCACCCCCAAACACCCCCCCACCCCCACACCTCCCCACACACCTCATCCCCACACCCTCACCACCAGACCCCCCCCCACAAACCTTCCTCCCCACACACACCTGACCTCACCCCCCACACCCCACACACCTCCCTCACCCCCCACCACACCCCCAAACCCCCACACACCTCCCTCACCCTCACACCCCCCCACCCCCACACCCCCTCACCTCACACACCTCCACCTCCACACAACCTCCCTCACCCCACACCTCCCTCACCCCCCACACACCTCCCTCACCCCCACACCCTCACCCCCACACACCTCCCTCACCCCACAAACCTTCTCTCCCTCACCCCCACACACCTCCCTCACCCCCAGACACCTCCCTCACCCCCTAAACCCCCTCCCTCCCCACCCCCACACACCTCCTTCACACACCCCCAGCACACAGCTCCCTCACCCCCACACGCCTCCCTCACCCCCACACACCTCCCACACCCCAGCACAACTCACCTCACCCCAAAAACTGACAGCGTTCATCATCAGAACAATGGACGGTCGAACAAACAGTCGCAACGTATTAAAAAGTAACGCTAGCTGCTGAAAATATCTCGTTCTTTGAGCTTTTTTGTCAACAACTATTCAGTGATGGAATTTGGGCTATCGTCCGCTCATTTATTTGGAGTTTTAGAGTATTTAATCTAATCTATCGTAACAATTATCAAACCTTTTTGTTTTCAGTCTCACTGAACGTTTTATGAAACTCTTTTAGCCTAAATAACCCTTTAGAAAGGACAAGCTCCCTTAATTTACCCTACAACCCTTATCCACCCTTAAAGACTCCATATACAAGCCCCAAAACCTAAAGTGAAAGTTGAAAGCCTGTGAGTGTGTTGACAGAGGCACAAATCCCTAATTAAGTCAAGCAACTCTCATTCTGCCTAGTGTGACGCTTCGTACGGCGAATCTGTTTTCAGAATGAAAACAAACCTGGGAGCATTCACGATTGCATGAAACTAGGCATTCATAATTAAATTAATTATTATAATAATAACTTTTTTTTTCTAAATATATACATACAATTATTTGTTCTATTTTCATATCCTTTTGTCCGTCTCTCCAAGAAATTTATGACACTTATCCGACGTAAGACGCCGAGACTTGTGCTCAGGTATGGGTTGTGTATTTCTGTATAGAGCAAAAGTCTTATTAATATTATTTTCGATTTATTTTTCTTGCTCTGTTTAATTCCCTTTCTCTTTCTTATTCTCTCTATTTCTCTGTTATCGAATTTCATCTCTTTCATTATCTCTGTTTTTCTCTACCTCTAATATTTATTTATCATTCTTTTACCCTCTCACTTTATCCTTTAAAATATACATCTCTCTCTTTCTTTATCTTTTTCATACAATCTCTTCCTGTTTTCTATTTCTATCCCAAGACTACAAAGAGATCTTCATTTTTTTCAACATAAGAGCATAAGAACATAACAAAATAAGGAGACTGCAATAGGCCGGTTGGCCTGTGCATGTGCATGGAAGCCTCTGTCGGGAGTTACAACCACTCTCTATCGTTCATAAATCTATCTAGCCTCATTCTAAAACTTTCTAGCGTTCCAGCACTTACTACAAAGTTGCTAAGTTTGTTCCACTCATCTACCACCATATTTGTGAACCAGTTTCTTCCTATCTCCCTCCTAAACCTAAACTTATCCAACTTAAATCCCTTGCTACGAGTCCTATCCTGCTCGGATATTATAAGAACTTTCTCTACATCTCCTTCATTTATTCCTTTCACCCACTTAAATACTTTATCATATCTCCCCGCACTCTTCGTCTTTCCAGGGAATGCAAGTTTAGTTTCTTTAATCTATCTTGATAGGGAAGGTTTCTAAATCCCGGAATCATTTTCGTCATTCTTCGCTACACCGACTCCAATGAATTGATATCCATTCTATAATAAGGGTACCAGAACTAAACAGCATAATCGAGGTGCGGCCTGACTAGAGCAAGGTATAATTGTAATATGACCTCCGCACTGTTATTACTTACACTTCTAGATATAAAACCTAAGTCTCTGTTTGCCTTATTTCGAACATAAACGCACTGTTTTCTAGGCCGAAGGTCCGGGCTTATGAGTACCTCTAAGTCTCTTTCACAAGTCGACTTCTCTAGTTCGATGTTGTCAAGGCTGTATACATTGACAGTATTTGTTTTTCCAGTATTAAGTACGCTGCACTTGCTGGTGTTGAATTTCATTTGCCATTTTCTGACCACTCCTGTAGTTTATTTAAATCCTCCTGTAGTGCATTTGCATCCTGCCCTGAATTAATCTGCTGCCCTATTTTGGTGTCATTCGCAAACTTGCTTCTGTCACTGCTGATTCCAGTATCTAGATCGTTGTAATAAACGTCCATCTAATAATCTCCATCGTTTCACACAGACAAAAAGATTATGATGAAATGATGGAAAACGTTCTGAAAATTTTTATATCTTACACATGGTAGGATTAGCAGCCTTATGGTCCGCTCCCAGGCTAACGAACAAATCTTTTTAGCAAAATTCCTGAATTCGGGGGCCATTAAGCTCTCTCTCTCTCTCCTCTTCATGCTCATCAAGGAAATTTGTTGGAGTTCCTTAAAGGAGAGTTATATCCCCCGACATGCAAAAGGTTAAAAAGACGCCTTAATGAGGGAAAACATCACCATTTGGCCATTGCAGCGGAACGACCCGTAGGAAAGTTACCAGAGTAGAACAGGAGGGAAATGTACTTAGTTTAAGTAGTGTTTGTGGACATGTTCAATATATCTAATCCCAGGCGCTACCTTTATGATACTGTTTCTACCTAGGAATAACTATAACTATACTATATACCTCTGTTTGCAATACTATGGTCATATGGGAATAATTATAACTATACTTTATACCTAAGGCTACACATGTACCGACGCTTCTCACCAAATGATCTCATTCTTATTTTCTTATTCTGATGTACCAGCCAGACTAGAGCGTCTTCCTCTATTACTCTTCTCTGCTGGTGAATACTGGGTGTCTTTTTTGGGCCCCCTGTTTGGCAAGATAACGCCTGCCATTTGCTGCACTTTGCAAGACGAAATGACTAGCAATAAAGCTGCTTTTTAACCGCCCGGTGCATGAGAGGAGGAGTTATGCGTCTAAGCGCTTGTGCAGCTGGGATACACTTGTACTGTGCTGGAGAGTCATGCATTATCCTCATGTTTTTTGTTTTTTTTTTAGGTTTGATTGTGGATGATGAACTAAGCGTTTTGTGTGTTGAAACTCTGGCACCATACCAGTGATGACTCATAAGTTTCAGAAGGAAGTCTACACAATCAAGGAAACGTTGAACCATGCGTTTGTTGGTATGCAAAGGAGAGGCCATGCGTTTTCTGCCTTCAGTGAGTATTGCCACACACGCACCCGGGGGGGCACATTTGCATAAGAATCCATCTATTGAAATTCCCTGTGTGTTCGTGTGTGTGTGTGTGTGTGTGACAGACAGAGTTACCCTCATTACGACTGTCACCCATTACCATCATTACCGGCTGTCATCAACTATTACCACGATCACCTGTCACCCCCTATCACCTCTTACCACCCCTACCACCATTAGCATCACTACTCTTGTCAACCCTACCACCAATACCACCAGTCACTCCTACCACCACTACCGACAATCACTTCCTACCACCAGCACTACCTCCTGTCACACCCTACCACCATTACTCCTGTCATCCCCTACCACTACTATGAACCATCACCCCTTACCACCACTACCACCATTCCACTTGTCACCCCGCCTACACCTATGACCACTGCCCTCTCCTCATAACTCTCTCTACCTCACTGAACTCTCTGTCTGTCTGTCTGTCGATCGAGTTTTACAGGTGACCTTTACTTCACTCGTCTAGCGAGCAGCCCAAATCCCGGCAGATTGTCGCCATTACCAGAGTTTAACGTTATCAATTTCGTTTTTACGCGAGACAGGGATATGTGAGCCAAGCCTATACAACTCTTCACAATTT